TTTTGCGTATCGTAAAATCGTGCATGTCATGGTTTGCGCATCATTAAAGGACAGTTTTCTAGTAGTGATGGCACAAAAGTGACAACATACTACCCTAAATGAAGAACTAAGTAATAGAGAGCCAATGTATCAACTTTATACCTCAAATGAGTCAGAAATGCAGCTCAAACTCTGGATCTACTATCTTCCTCTGGAACCCCTAAGCTTCTCTTTCCTTCTCAAGCTTCAAAATCACAAAGAACACACAACAATGGCTAAAAAACACTCAAAAGTGGATTAGGGTTTCGTGGCTAGGGTTTGGGGTGATGGAGGCTGCAAATGAGGCCAACCTATAACAACCCGATATTTCAACTCAATATAATAGTCTAAGTCAAATTGTAACTTATTTTGAAATAATAAAAATAGAAGTTTTCTGAGACGAAAATAAGTGTCTCTTAATTGGGATGAACAAAGCGGTATACATTGTAACAAGGTTTCCAAAAATATAAAGAACACTAAAATCCGAGTTATAACGAAGAAGTTATGACCAATCGAAGATCCGCGACAAAACCGGCAAAGCACTGTTCAACGTAAAAAGTGAGTTTTCAATAAAATGATATTTAGCTTTAACAATCTAAATGAAAGTTGTAGAATATGTTAAACCGAGAACTTTCATAAAAAGAACGTCAAAATCTGACTTCGTATGAGGAAGTTATGATTTTTCTAAGATTCAGTATAGCAGTATACAGCTAAAAACTCGAAATAAAGATCGAGTGATTTTTAGCCGATACCTAAACGATAATCGAAGGTCTCGTCAATAGTAGTACAACGGTAAAAAGACAGACAAAAACGGACGTCGGATGAAGAAGTTATGAAGTTTTAACGGATTTTCCTGTCCCGGTTTGTTAAAAATAATAATATTAAAAATAAAGTCAAAATTAGCCGACGAAGTCTAAACGAAAGTCGTAGAGTATAATTTCACCTGCTCGTGCATATAAATAACGTCGAAAACAGAGCTCGTATGCGAAAGTTATGAATTTCGCAAGTTTTGGGCACAAAAACCGAAAAATATTGAAAAACGGGAAATTTCGCATGGCCACAATTCGGCCACGTCACCTCGCATACAAGGCTGCCTCGTGTCTGCCACGTATTCACTGCTGATTCGACCGAAGGCGCGGCCCAATGAAGAACTGACGCGCCTCGCATCCGTGGAGCATCAGAAGCAAGCCACGTCTCGCCTGCGAGCTTCCGACGCCTGACCTCCTCGCATCCGAAGCCGCCACATGTCTCTCCTTCGCCACCTGTCCGAACACACGTCGCACCCTCCCCTCTTTGGACCGAACCCTAGCACCAATATAAAGGGTGCGAGATTCTCTGTTTCCTACACCTATTTTACTCCATTTTTCACACTTTTTCACTTCTTTCACTCCCATAAACCTCCCTACAACCCCCCGAAGCCCCGGTATCATATCCAACACTCAAATAACATCCCGAGACACCAGAAGTCAGCAAAAATAGAGTCTTTCGGTATCTAAACCCGACCCTCGCAAGTCCTGATTTCCAACAATAAAGCATTCTTTTCTAGCAACAAAGTGCTACCCAATTCACAACCTATCAAGTGAGTTCATACCCCTTTAATCTACCTTTTAAATGTTTTTAAATGCTTTTAGGGGGGGGGGATACAAGTTGAACACAATCTAAATTGTGTTAATAATTGTATGTGATATCAATCACACAAAGGATTTCCTTATGCTTTTAAGGATTACCAAATACTTTCAAAATAACTTAAAGTCATGCTAAATCTTTAAAGTCATGTAAACTCTTTTTGAAATACTGTTAAACTCTTTTAATATTGTTAAAACTCTTTGAAAAAGGTTTTATAAACTATTTCAAATTATAATTGTCATATCATGTTCATATATGTATAAGTACATAAATAAAACTTAAAGGGCTTAGGACTAATGAGTTGCCTTATCTCCTTTTCCTTGTTTGGATGTGGACTTGAGGTGAGGTTATTTGTCCGAAGGTCGTTTCCTTCTTAATTATATACATTATACATATGGGAATATAAAAAGTTACTTCAGTCGATATCATTACCTTTGTATCATGCTGAGCAAAGGGCTACATTCAGGAGAGATCATGCTAATCATATAGAACATATAAATTATAATATGTATAATTTATGATTCAAAACTAAATATACAAGTATGATTCACGATTGTATACTTTTCATTCCAAGTATATTAGGAAAGGAAAGTACTAACAATTCATTTATCTACACCAGGATATGTATAATACTTTTAGTATATGAATAATATATTAAAGAAGTAATAATACATCATACCGGGTTTGCATTAACAGGGGTACAAATACAACATACCAGGGTTAGCAATCACGGGGTAATAATACATCATACCGGGTTTGCATTAACAGGGGTACAAATACAACGTACCAGGGTTAGCAATCACGGGGTAATAATACATCATACCGGATTTGCATTAACAGGGGTACAAATACAACGTACCAGGATTAGCAATCACGGGGTAATAATACATCATACCGGGTTTGCATTAATAGGGGTACAAATACAACGTACCAGGGTTAGCAATCACGGGGTAATAATACAAACTAAACTAGAAACAAATGAGAAATCTATTTTTCTAAATAAGTATACGAGGTCTAAACTACTTTATAAAAAAAAGGATATAATTCGATCTTTACTCAAACTAAAATGTGATGGTACGTATTCAGGACATAATAATACTTGCTATGTTACATTCTTGTAACTAGAGTTTCCTGGAGGGAGAGTGGACATTGTGTGTATAGATCTAACGGGACTGACAATCCCACACACTGACTGTTAGCTACAGTCCGGCAGACCAGCCATGGGGTGACAAATGTCACATATTCAGTTTCGACACCAGTAGGTCGTCGTATTCATTCTAGTCTAGTATGGTTACAACTTTATCACATTTTAACCCTAATTAACCAGGTTAATATTAGGGTAATTATGGACCAGTAGTTTATTCTCTTTAAGAAATACTACTGTAGTAATCATTTTCCATAATCAAAACGAAACGGTTTTATGAGGATTTAAAACTACTTATCAGAACGGTTTTATGGGGATTTAAAACTACTTATCAGTTGTAAAGCAGAAAATATAGGATTTTTTGGAACGTAATCCGTCACTTTCTCAAAACTAGTATAAAGGATCTTAATGGTTAATTCTATAATTCCTTAGTTTATACATCGGAGTTATACATAATTAATATCCGACTGACAGTGGAATGTGTGACTTCCGCCTTACTTCATGTTCCTTGTTTGGTTGTGGACTTAGGGTAGATACATACATTTAACTGTCAGTTCGATATGAGGTTATATATGACTAATATAAACTAAGTAATTGTAGAGGGAACTATTATGGTTATCATCTTATCACGCCAGAAAATATAGGTTTTTCTGGAGGAATCAAAGAACTTTTCCAAGAACTTAGAGTATACTTCATATAACTAAAATACTTATGAACTCACCAGCTTAAATGCTGATCTACTCTTTCAAAATAACTTGTATTCTTAGGAATCCAGTAGACAAGTACACTCCCGGAGCTTTTGAGAAGACAGCCTAGTACTGTGCTGCGTCTTTTGTCTTCTACCGTTTTTACTTTAATGTTTGAATATGTAATGTTTAAACACTTATGTAAAACTTATACTTATTAATGCAATGGTTGTTTTTACTTTGATTATTATAATGCATGTGTTGTGATACTTACATGACGTCCTCCGCCCCCGAACGTTTCCACCGTTCTGGTTTGGGGGTGTGACACAACCTTTGGAGGTTAGGGTGCAAAACCCGAAAAATTAGGGTTTCACTCTGGCAGCCTTACTCGTCGAGTTGAGGCTCTCAACTCGTCGAGTAGACTTCAAGTCCCGCGTCCAAATTCCATTTCTAATCGACGAGTTTGGGCCTCCAACTCGTCGAGTCCCCTTGCAAAAAAGAATAATTTGATTTAAAATACGTACCAGGATTCGGGCATTACAAAGGGACTGCATGTCTTCGTTGAAGTAGTAGACCTCATCGTGGGCCAGAATCCCCTGATCGACAAAGTCATTCTCTGGAGGAGCAGTAATGCTGGCACGAGAATGGGTCACCTTCTTGCCCATGATCGGAGAAAAGAAGAGAACAAAAGAAAAACAAGGGGAAGAAATTACCTATGAAGGTGGCCGGACACGTATTTGGAAATGTAAAAGGAGTTGATAGGATTACCCTATTTAACCTAATGGTAGAAGGGAGAGAGTACGATTTGACTGCATGATTATTAACATTGGGCGGATAAACCCTATCAGATTAGGGTTTAAAACACATCTTTAAATATGGGAAAACTAACCTCAATATTTCGCCGGTATAATTTAGGGGCAATTGTTATGGATAGTATCTTTAACTCATATTCAAGATCCTCAAAAAATTCTAAAGCTTCAGGATCCTTAAACATACTCTAGGATCCTGACTATTACCACTAATATTTCTAACAATTGTAACGGCTATATTTTCTTAATTTTTCTCACATGTGCAGAGCTAGTTAACACAAGACCCATTCTCAACGGAAAGTCATCTCAACCAGGCAAAAGAACCGGAATACCAAGTCAAATAACGTTCATATGCTGATTCCGGAGGATCCCTGAATTATCAAACTTCTTGTTACCTACACTAGACTACAAAATAACAAAATACATCAGGACATGTGATCATTATCACTTCTCAATATCTTACTTTGATTACCATTTGATACTTACATTATACTAACACTACGACCTTTCATATAATTTGGTTGAATTACACTTAGATCAATTTTTGACCAAAATACGAACTATATTTAAATCAACAATACTTAAAATAACATGATGTAAATATAACTTACTCACAAAATTGCCATCTCTTCCCTATGAACAAATTTTCTTAAATGGTATATACATAAAAAGACCAAAGTATCGGATTGGGTACACCATGATGATGACCCATCGAAAATGTCCAAAATACCATATTACGCACTTATTGGTTATTTTGCAAAAGAACTTTTTTTTTTAAAGGAATTTACTCTCAGTATCCCGCCGTACAAGAAAAGAAAGGAACTGCTCAGAAGCCTCCGGAAAGGGATGAGCAACTTCGGCAACGGCAAAGGGAAGCCAGTTACCGGAGACGACGACGATGACGAAGATGAAGGAAACGAGAGAGACCTCGAAGCATGGGAGAGAGCATACGCAGACGAGAGGTCCTGGGAATCATTACAAGAAGATGAATCTGGACTCCTCCGGCCAATCGATAACCAAGCTTTACATCACGCTCAGTATCGCCGCCGTCTACGGTCACTCTCCTCGGCTTCCGCCGCCTCACGTATTCAAAAAGGCCTCATTCGATATCTCTACCTTGTCATCGATCTCTCTCGGGTATATAAATCTTCCCATGCCGCATTTCATTCGAAAAAAAATGAGATTCACCTTTTCATTAGTTGTCAAAATGTTGATTTTCAAGTCCTAAATTGACACGGATTTTGAACTTATGAAGTAATCTGCTACGAATTTCCACAAATAAATCATGCTAGTATTGAATTCACAGATAAAGCCATATCAGTCCCGAATTCAAACAGCTGTTGGTTTGATATCAGCAATGCAATCACGATTCTATTTAGTTCTGGAAACGGAGAAAATCATTAAATGAGCATTTACCTGTTAGGGTTTTAATAAGATTTAGGTCTAGCCTTTTTTTTTTTTACCATGTTCTTTCATCTATTAGGGTTTTGATAAGATTTGTCGAGTGAGTTAGGTTAATATGCAAAAATCTTAAACACTTTATGTATAGTTAACTGCAAATTTGATGAATCCATCACGTATTATTCATCAATATTACTCATTTCGATCATTTTTGAGATTCACATTCAGTCATTCACTCAATGTTAACATGTAGGCAGCTGGAGAGATGGATTTACGACCAAGTAGAATGGTGGTGGTTGCTAAACAAGTAGAAGCTTTCATAAGGGAATTCTTTGATCAAAATCCATTAAGTCAAATTGGCTTAATATCTATAAAAAATGGAGTTGCTCAATGTTTAACTGACCTAGGTGGAAGCCCTGAGTCTCATATAAAGGTCTTAATGGGAAAACTCGAGTGTGCAGGTGAAGCTTCTCTACAAAATGCTTTGGAACTTGTACATGAACAGCTTGATCAAATCCCATCATATGGTCATCGTGAAGTTATCATTTTATATTCAGCTCTAAGTACTTGTGATCCAGGAGATGTAATGGAGACTATTCAAAAATGTAAAAACTCCAAGATTAGGTGTTCAGTTATTGGTCTCTCTGCAGAACTTTATATATGCAAGTATTTATGCCAAGAAACTGGAGGGTTATATTCTGTTGCTTTAGATGAGGTGAGGTCAAAAAAGTAATTTTCAATTCTTTCAGTCCAAAATATGTGTAAGAAGTTAGGTAAATTACATTTTTGGTCCCTGAGTATAGCTCTATAGCTGGTTTCTTCAGTTTTAGTCCTCAAATAAGGACCAAATTGCAAGAGAAAATCTCTTTAGGACCAAAATTGAAAACAAAATAGGCTATACCCATTACCCAGGGACCAAAAATGTAAATTACTTGAAGTTATGTAACATGTATATTATTTTACAGGCACATTTAAAAGAGCTAATTCTAGAGCATGCACCACCACCTCCCGCCATAGCTGAATTTGCTATAGCCAATTTAATAAAAATGGGATTCCCACAAAGGGCAGCAGAAGGTGTTATCTCCATATGTTCATGTCATAAAGAAGCTAAATTTGGTGGAGGGTATACTTGTCCAAGGTGTAAAGCTCGTGTTTGTGAATTGCCTACTGAATGTCGTATTTGTGGGTTAACCCTTGTTTCATCTCCTCATTTAGCAAGATCTTATCACCATTTATTTCCAGTAACGCCCTTTGATGACGTGGCGCCTTTGATTGTACCCAATCAACATCGTAGGCCAAAAACTTGTTTTGGTTGTCAGCAAAGTCTTTTGAATCCTGGTGAGTTGGTTCACTTGATTAGAGTGAATTTTGCATTTTTTACGGTTTTGGTCCCTGGGTATAGCTAATTTTTTCAATTTCGGTCCTAAAAGGTTTTCTCTTGCAATTTTGGTCTCTCTTTGTAACGTTTTTTATTACTGTTCCAAGTAAAATGACTATTTTTGGACCAAAATTGCAAAAATCAGCTTACTCAGGGATTGAAAGTGTCATTTTACTTTAAACAGAGACCAAAAATGCTACAAGAACCTTAAATCAGGACCAAAATTGCAAGAGAATTTTTTATGACTAAAATTTGCAAAAATCATCTGTACTTAGGGGGCAAAAATGTAACGTACTCAATTGATTATGTTGTTGAGTAAATTACACTTTTAGTCCCTGACTATAGCTTATTTTTGCAATTTTGGTCCCAAAAAGTTTTCTATTGACAAAATTGCAAAAATGGTCCCTGTGGTTTGTCGAATTGTCGAAAATTGCAAGTTTGGTCCAAAAAGTTTTGGAGTTGCACCGCTGGCCTAAAATAGGTTTTGGTCCAAAACTTTTAACAAAATAAAAAGTTAAAAAACTGAATGTGTTAAAAAGAGGGTTAGGTGGGGGTGGGTAAGATTTTTCTTTTATTTTTAATTAGAAAATAGCGAAGCAATTAAAAAGAAGAGAAAAAACAAATTAAAAAGGGTAAATCTGTCATTATAAAAATTTTCAAAAACATTTGGACCAAACCACCACAAAAAGCCTATTTTGGACCAATGGTGCAACTCCAAAACTTTTTGGACCAAACTTGCAATTTTTGACAAACCACAGGGACCAGTTTTGCAATTTTGTCATCTCTATTTCTAGAAATGATGATTTCTAGTTGTTCAAGTATAGCTGATTTATGCACTTTTGGTCCCAAAAATAGTCACTTTTGCAAGAAAAAACTTTATGGGATCAAAATTGAAAAAAATCAGCTATACTCGGAGACAAAAATGTAATTTACTCGAGATAATCAAACGGACATTGGTATTATTTGCTATTGTGATGTAGGGAACATTCCGGGCAGATGTGTGACCTGCCCGAAATGCAAACAGTTCTTTTGTCTTGACTGTGACATATATATTCATGAGAGTTTGCACAACTGCCCGGGTTGTGAGAGCTTAAGAGACTCCAAGTCACTTTCTTAGTTCTTTTTTTTGAGACATTTTTACCCTTAGAAGCCCGCAAAGAGAGATAAAATTGTCATGTTTATTGGAGGGCAAAAGGGGGAATCAAACTTGTGTTTCTATATATCATGTAACTTTGAAGCATGGTTTTAGATAGGATTTTATCTATATTGTGTACCCTTTAGCTTAAAAAAAATATGATTTTTGATAGGATTTTATTTTTTTGTTTAATCTTATTTGGCTGAGAGATGTCGCCAAGTTCATATAGATATATGATTTATTTTTTACTGAATGGACTTAATGGTTAAGCAGTTAATTTGGATAACTATATATGGTTGTTTCTTTTTTAAATCTGGAATCATGGCTTAATGTATTAAGAAAGTAGCAATTACTTATTTGCATTTCTTCTTATTTACTCCCAACTCTTTATCACGTTATTGATAAATATCTTGATTTTTTTTAAAATACAAGAATAAAATGGTTATTTAGTCTTGTTAACACGGTTTATTCATTATAGAATAGCGGAAGCAACCCCTTATTTTATTGCTTTAGGAGTCCATGCAAATTGAAGTTGACACTTGTCATAACAAGTAAAGATAACAATGTTTGTTGTCATTAATTATGAAATAATAGTTATTAGACTATTATTTTGAACTACATTGTAATTATTTTAAACTAGATTTTATTTATTTTAAACTACATGTAATTTCTAAAATAAGATGGTATTATTTATATATAATTTATATTTTATAGAACCGGAAAAAATCTTAACATAAGAACAACTATAAAATTGTCTCTGTCTAGATTAACATCATGAGTGGATGTAGGGGTCAATTCATATGTGACATGTAACTATCATAAGTCAAACTGTTAGCTTCCAATATTTCTTCCAAAATCTTGGGATTGAATCGCAATTCACCTTCTTTTAGCTTGATATTCTTTATTAAAAATTTAAAATGAATCTTATTTTATCATAGAGAAATTGAGTAAAGTAACCATAATATAACGTATTTAAAGTAAATAACCAAAAAAAATTGTTTTGGCAAAATAACCACGAAGTCATAATGATAAGTTCGGACCGACAAAAACATTTGAGAGGAGAAAGTAGTCGTTTTTCAAAAACTAAATAATTATGCTCTAATTCTATACATAACAATTTTTGAGTGTTACCATTATGCTCAAATTCTAAATTTGAAAAGGACAATAAAAATACACACAAATTACCAAAAATCATTTGAACAACTTCAAACCCACATCCCCAAAACCCTTGACTTGCTTTGCTAAATGAACCAAACATTCAACTATTTCTTGATAATAAGGGTGTGATTTGTCTCTAACAATGAACTCATGAACATTTCCATTCACCTCAATTGAGCTACAACCAGGAGTCTTCTCTACACCTCTTTCCCTCATCAACTTCCTCACCTCCATAGCTTTCTCAAACATCTTTGCTTCCCTATACATATTCCCTAACAACACATAATTCCCACTATCACTAGGATCCAATTCAAGTAGTTTAAAACCCGCTCTTTCACCCATCTCAACATTCCCATGAACTCTACAAGCAAAAAACAATGCTCCCCAAACACCATCATCCGCAACAATTGGCATACTCTTGATCACCTCTTCGGCTTCTTCAAGCAAACCAGCCCTACCCAAAATGTCCACCATACAAGAATAGTGTTTACATTTGGGAGAAACGTTGAATTTTGATGTCATTTGTGTGAAAATCTTGCGACCCTCATTCACCAAACCACCATGGCAACAAGCAGAAAGGACACCTACAAATGTCACATCGTCTGGTGTGATGCCAACATTGATCATGTCCCAGAAACATGAAACCGCATCATGAGCATTGCCATGGTAAGCTAGACCAACGATTATGGTTGTCCATGTTTGGGAATTTCGGTTAGGCATTTCATCGAACACTTGGAGTGCTTTTGCTATGTTGCCACATTTAGCATACATGTCAACTAGTGCAGTGCCTAAGGCTATGTTTATAGGAAGATGGTGTTTTGTGATGTAATGATGGAGCCAAATTCCAAGATCAAGTGCTCCAAGTTGTGTGCATGCGGATAAGCAATGAACCATGGTCACCCAATCGGGTTTAACCATTGTAGTTTGAAATTCTTGGAATGTTGCTAATGCATCTTTGTAACGTTTGGATTGAATGTAAACACCAATCATGGCGTTCCATTGAACAACACCTTTTTCAGGCATTTCATCGAACAGTTTCTTGGCAGCTTCTACATGGCCGAATTTTCCATAACCAACAATCATGGTGGTTAATGACACAATCGTTTTTTTAGACATTTTATTGAATAAACTTTCTGCAGCTTCTATATTTCCACATTTCACGTACATGTCCATTAAGGTATTAACAAGTGGAATTGTCATCTTTATTTGATTTTGTTCGATATATTGATGAAATTCTTTCCCAAGATTCAAGTTTTCGAGTTGAACACAAGAAGATATCACCCCTATCATGGTAACCTCATCTGGCTTAATCCCCTCTTTCTTCATCTGATGAAACAATCTCAAGGCCTCCCATGGCTTCCCACTCTTAACATACCCGTTAATAATTGAATTCCAGGACACTAAATCTCTAAGACAACTTTCATCAAACACCTTCTGTGCATTATCTAATTCTCCACATAACACCAAGAAATGAATAACAGAATTGTTCACATACATATCGGAATCAAAACCCAGATGAATAACATGCCCAATAACCCCAAAACCCATCTGAATCAAAGACAATTTGGCACAACATTTAAGCAACAACGGATATGTGTAATTATCTGGTCGCAATCCTTTGCTTTTTGTCAACATCTCCTTATACAACAAAAGACTTTCTTCCGGCTTTTCGCTCTCATAGTAACCCTTAATCGTTACGTTCAATGAAAACACATTTACGTTTTGTAAATTGTTCAATATTCTCGTGCAATAATCAAGATTTCTTGATTCTGAGATGGCACAAAAGGCAATTAATCGACTTGCAGCTAACCCATCTGAGATTAATCCCGTTATGATCATTTGCGTCTGGATTTGCTTCATTTGGGTCATTGATTTGCATTTTTCTAATAGAGATAGCAATGGGTTTGAGAGGACGAACGAGTGAGTAGTGTTCCAGTTGGTTGGTTCTTCTTTTAGAGGCAGTAGAGATCGAGTCTGGAAAGAGAAAGTGAGTAAGAGATTTGGGTGGGGTTTATGAGTATAATGGAGAAATCTCATGTAGGAGATAATCATCACAATTCATATATAAATTAGGGTTCTTACATCGTAAAATTTAGCCAAATTGAGGGATAACACTCAAGCTCTTAGGTGTATAATGTATTGGCTCAGTTTTTGTAGAGGGCCACGTCACTCGCTCATATTTTCCTTTTTTTTTTCTTTTAATTTTCACTTAGAAAATGACATTTATGGAAATCGAAAAATAACAAAGTGTTCAATCGAGTTCACTTTTTTCCTACAAAAATCGTGGACGATGTAATTTCCATGATATTTGTATGGTTTAGATTTAGAAGTAAAAAGGGATATGTAAGTGGATAGATTGATGTCTAGAACATTTTGGCTTCATCGAGTAGGATGTATGTTTTTTCTCCTAGTAGATATTTAAAGACAAAACTGCAAATTTACTACTTGTGGTTTGCAAAAAACTTTAGATAGAGTCCAAAAAGTTTTCGACTTGTATAGAAGGTCTAAAATCAAAACTTTTCCGTAAATTTGGTCCAAATAAATATGAAAAGACTATTTTGCCCTTATTATTTCTTTTTTACATTTTCTTTGTTTATTTTGATTGTTTTAATATAAAAGAAAAAAAAAGAAACGGGCATGACCATTTGACCACACAATACCCAACCCATATATTTCTCTCTCTCTCTCTCTCTCTCTCTCTCTCATCAAAAAGACTTCCATGATCATTTCGTTTCCATAGCTATCACCTTCCTTTCCCGTCAAGATGCCCTACAATAGTCGTCGACCCTTCTCGCCGGTAAGTTTCTTACCTCACACTGCCTCCATTCCCCCTTCTTCTTCTCGAGCCAATGGGTTTAAGTTTTAGAGCTTGAAGTCTGCCATCTAGACCAAAACCTCGATACGACAACGGTGAATCCGATAGCAAATTCGACAGCTTGAAACGTGTTAACTTGTGACAGCCTACTAATATCTTTCCCCCAGCCATCGAAATCTTCTAAGGTTTCATTTTAGATTTGATTTTGTGTTTTCTGAAAATTTCTAGGTTAGCTTAGAATTTTGATTTTCAATTTCTACAATTGGTGTTTATTATTATGTGGGTGGGTGTAGATTTTCTGGTGAATAGATTTTCTGGGATCCATTCATTATCTCAAAGACTTTGTGAGTTTCAATTTCTGCAATTTTTGTTCAATTTGAGCAATTCGTGTTTATTAATGAGGAATTAGGAGTTTTCTTTATGCATATTACTGATGAAGAACAGATGATTGAATTTTATAAACATTGGAATCACCCACTTCATGATGCATATTCTGAAAACCCATGAGCTTTTATGTATTTTTATCAGGTGGAATCCCTGACTGTGGTGTGTAGATGTAAGCATGATTGAATCGATTGGTGTTAAACTGAGTTGGGTTTCTGTAGGATTACATTGATGAATGCAAAACCGATGGATTGAAGCTTTTAAGGTAAGTTTTTGTTGGTTTTTTGACAACTCGATTTGTTTGAAGGAAACGTAAAACCGATGTCCCTGGAACATTTGGAGATTGATTTTGAATATGTAATGGTGGGTGTTTTTGAGCCAGTTGTAGGTTAGAGGTGGCAGTCCCCGTTGGGTCTTTTTTTTGTTTGGGTTTTCCGACGAAGAAAATAGGAGAGAGGAATAGTGGGCTGCAATGAAGCTTACACTCAATATTTAAGTGGATTTGTGTTTTGTTGCAGGTTTTAAAGAAGAAGAAGAAGAAGAAGAAGAAGAAGAAGAAGAGAGAGAGAGAGAGAGGAGAAAGAGTGAGAGAGAGAGAGACGGTATGGTGGGGTGTATATTTTTTTTTAATTTCTTTTTATTTTGTAATTATAAAAACATTATAAATGGTAAAAATAATGTAAAAAAGAAATTAGAAGGGTAAAACCGTCATTTCAGGTCTTCCAAGGACCAAAACTACGGGAATCTTCTAATTTTGGGACCAAATTCACGAAAAAGTTTTGATTTTGGACATTCCATGCAAGTCGAAAACTTTTTGGATCCTATCCAATCAAACCACAAGGAACAAATTTGCAGTTTTGTCATATTCAAATCGTAAAGCATATCTATTTTTTTATTGAGAAAGAAATACCATACTTTCTTATATATCTTTTTGCAAATAATAGAAGTTAATGGAAGTTATTGTTAGTCAAAACTTCCACCAATATTAAAATATGTGTCGAAAGAATATGCTTTATGTCATGAGTCATATACGATATCATCATCACACATGTTTTGTTGGTGTTTTTCTTTGACTTACGAGTACAACTTGATTATGTTTTAGACTTTTAGGTGTATAATATCATAAAGATTCATACACTTACATATATATTTAAAATATGTTAATGTTCTTCGATTTACCCGCACGTGAAAGGTCATTTTTATCATTTTTATTGTAATATCAATATTTTTTAATTCAATAATCTATTTAATTTTATTAAAGAGATATTTATAAAAATGAACATCTCACTAACTTTAAGACACACTAAAAGTATTTTTATGATAAAAAAGTATATTTCAGAATCAAATTCCGGATTCTTAATTTCAGATTTCAGATGGGAAAGAAAATGTATTTAGAAATATCAACAACATATTCGAAATATAATGAGAAAAGTTGGAAATTTTAATAAAAGCATCTGCTCTACTAACAAAAACTAATATAACCTTAAAACTAACTAAAAAAAACAAAGACTAAAAGAAAAAACCATTTGACATGAGGTAAGTCACAAAAAAGAACTTACATTCACACTATTTTTAATAATTTTACTCTAACATCAACTTTTTTACTATTAAAGCTCAAAACTTGTTCACTTAACATGTTACAACTCACTTAGGAGGTTATCATGCCACGTAATATGCCATATGGCTACCATATTGCCAGAGGCGTAGCTACTAAGACTAAAGGTAGGTCCTAGGACCTACCTAAAATTTCAATTTTATTTATAATATCTATAGGAGAAAAATTAGGAACAATCTTGGAAAAAATAAAGGACCTACCTTGAATTTGTTTTTTAGAAAAATGTCTTAAAAAAACCATTTTAAAATGAGAAAAAATATGTTACTAGAGGCAATTTGTTAATTTAAATAATGGGATTGATAACAAAAAGTTAACCACTATTTATCAATACTCTCAAACTATCAATAAATAAATAAATTGTTCTAATAAAAAGAAGCTCACATGCCTCAACTCCTTCCCATTCTATAACTTTTACAAATCTATAAAAATAAAAAATTAAAAGTGAAAAATAAAAAAACCCAACATTGCCTTTCTCGCATCCGTTCGCTGCTTTAGAATTGACGTCGGACGTTGCAAAAAACTCCCACTTTCCGTTCCTCACTTTATCAATGAACTAATAATCAACTATTTTTCAATAAACCGTACAGGTGTTTTTTCATTATATTTCAGTCGTTTTTTTTTAAAAGAAAAAAATCGGTGGTGCCCGATCGGTTTTAACCGGTTGAATTGGTTGGTCCAGTTTTTTTAAGGTACATAACCGGACCCCCCACAAGTGTTTTTGATTTTTTTTAATGGTTTACTTAATTTGGAAACCACGTGATTTTTTGCTCTAAATTCGCCATTATTGCTATTGACTGGGTCTTATTTGCTGACATGACAAACCATGAGAGCATTGGCGAAAGATTAAAGGCCAAAAACCCAAAATAAAAATGTTCTATTTTGACTAAATGAAAAGTATAGGGGTTCGACATGTTACAACTCACTTAGTTCTATTTTGACTAAATGAAAAGTATAGGGGTTCGACATGTTACAACTCACTTAGTTCTATTTTGACTAAATGAAAAGTATAGGGGTTCGACATGAACGAAATACAAACACACATTTCAAAGAAAGCATCCATGTTCTTCATCTTTTATACCTCCATGTGGACCTATTGAATCCTAGTTAGCATCCATTTAATTCTTATCAAAATTGCAACATGGATTTTCATGATGTAATACAAATTTTATTAATCCTACATTAAATATCTTCGTTAACAAAAACCGTAACATATACATATTTTGTTAAATAAGAAGCAATTGTATGAAACTGCCTTTTAAGGTTTGGGGTTTAACAATTTCTTTAAATATATAAATAATTTTTAATAAATAAAACATATAATGCCTCATTTATGTCTTTTGATCGATTCTTCCTCTTTTAAATATATAGAAAATATTTTATTTTATTTTAATAATTCTACATTCTAATACACAAATACCAAATTCCTCTATTAAAACCTAAAAACGATTAACAATTTGATAAGAACGTGAATCCAATAACAGATAAATGAAACTAAAATATGAGAGATATAGATCTAGGTAGCTATTTGATTACTAAATGGAAATAAGAACAAATCAGAAAGGAAATCCAAATGATTGTCCTCCTGCCCTAATCAGAGAAGTTCTCTCAAGAGAAACCTCCTGCCCAAGCTAAAGCCGATACTCAAAGCTACAAAATACTCAATACCTCACTACTCCTATCACTACTCTATTTATGCTATAGATATTACAATTAAGTCCCCCATGTTTACCCATATATTTATATAAGACCCATAGCACATTCTCTATCAATACCACCGTCTTGAAGAAGAGGCTTGTCCTCAAGCCGGGAGTTAGGAAATTGACTTTTTGTTTGAAAGGCACTTTTGCTTCTTTGATTGGACATTGTTGCCATGGAATCAGCCATTGCTTCCTTTGTTTTACCTTGCTGTCAACACAACTAGTTTCCTCTCTTTCATTGGATTCAATCAACACAACTTCTTTCATTGATGGCCGGCCAAAAGATGACAGCTTTCTGCACTTTATAGCAACCTTTAAGGTATAATAGATGAAAAGCTTGAGCATAGCTCGATATTCTTCCACTTCTTTCTTATATTTGCCAAAAGTTATAATCTTCTCTTTGGTGGTGTTCATGTCCCAGGATTCTTTGTCCTTAAGAAAAGAGACAAGCTCGATTTCATATGTACCAGTGGCATTAGGCGGCAATACTGCTAATTCTTGCTTGAAACCGATAAAACCAAAAGCATATTCTGGTGCAATACTCAGAAGAGCTACTTCACCTTTCTTCATCATCATCACAACTTCTTCAAGCCTATCAACTTCCTGCTCTTTATCTACCAACTTAAATTGAAAAACAACCCCTTCATTTGGGAGCTGGAATCCCGCCCCTTCTTCCAAGCTTTTCTGGAGGACTTTCTTGTCATCTGTAATATCTGTAGGGACCCTCCATGATATTATTTGTAGTGTAGCATTTGCAGGGATGGAACCTTCATTACCAGATGCGGTTTTTCCCTTCTCTCCAATTCCATATTTTAGTATGACTGTAGGGATGACCTTGTCCCCCTTCAATCTGGTGTTTAATTTCCGTTTAGCAATCTCTATCTTATCTTTATGGAAGAATTTCATAGCTTCTCGCAACAATAAGATCTTCTGATGGGTCCAACTGTTGGCTTCAAGGTCTCCATAAGCTTTGGTTGTATCATCCTTCATGAAAACAAGATTTGAATAACCAGTAACACATGCCCATTTCTTCAAACAATCTAAATATAATAGTGTCTCAACCATTTTGAGGGATTTGCATCGATTTTCAAAGAGAATTCCATGAATTCTGTTGTTCAAACCAGAGTTTTCAATACTACTGGTAGCCAATTCTTGGTATATATCTGATGCTTTTATCTTACACGTGGGTTTATAAAATTGGATTAAGCGATCAATAGACCGCAGGGAGATTTCAGGTACAAGTAATTCGTCTTTTAAATTCACGGTGAGACAAGAGTCCTCATCGTGAAGATCATGGTGCTGTGTTTTGGTTTCCCACTCAGAATTCGAAGTCATAGATTTCAAGAAAGTTGAATAATTACATTTCAAATTTGAATCCTCGTCTTCCCCTTCTTGTTTAAACAGGCTCGTAGTAATGACATTACAAATAGGGATGACAATCAATTTTGGCGATTTGTAGGGTTTTAGTGGTAATTGAAGATACGCAGTATTGGGCAGGAGTACTTCAGTGGTCTGTGAATTAGGCCTAATTGACTGCTCGGTCAAATCATGAGGGCCATAGTGCGAATTGAAATTGGAGCCAGAAGTATAGTTCGATACCTTACCATTCACGCTTGTACGTTCTCCCAGAGCGGTGATGGCGGTGGCAACATGTCGGGCTAGATCAATTGCTTTCTCACAGGTGGTCGGTCGGAGTAACCTAAGCCAGTTCTTTATGTCCGTTTGCAAACCACGAATAAATATTCCAAGTCGTTGTTCCTCTGATTGGTATGGAAGAAAAGCTGATAGGGCTTGGAATTTCTCTATGTATTCTTCTACACCCCCCTCCTGATTCAACGATCCTAAGTCATCGATCAGAGTGTAATCGTTGCTAATGGCTGGTCCCCTGAAGAATGAAGTCTCTGTCTCCATAGTTGGAGTAAAATGCTTGCATGTGGGTCGATGTAAGGCTTCCGTCATTTTTTCGAGTGATTTGGGTAGGTTATTAAGAGCCTCACACATCGATCTCACTGAAGAGGTAAGATCCCTTAACTGATCTGATAACGATTCAAGTTTCTTATCACGCGCATCCATCATTGCCTCAAGTTGAGTAACAGTTTGAGACTCCGGTGTAACCATTGTTGATTCGATTTCCCGGCAATGGAACCAATTGATAAGAACGTGAATCCAATAACAGATAAATGAAACTAAAATATGAGATATATAGATCTAGGTAGCTATTTGATTACTAAATGGAAATAAGAACAAATCAAAAAGGAAATCCAAATGATTGTCCTCCTGCCCTAATCAGAGAAGTTCTCTCAAGAGAAACCTCCTGCCCAAGCTAAAGCCGATACTCAAAGCTACAAAATACTCAATACCTCACTACTCCTATCACTACTCTATTTATGCTATAGATATTACAATTAAGTCCCCCATGTTTACCCATATATTTATATAAGACCCATAGCACATTCTCTATCACAATTCTCATGAAAAGAAATACAAATAGACTTTAAGTAAATCACATACTACGTAATATTTTAATGTTTGAATTATTAACTTCAATGAGAAATAGTCTTTCTTAAACGATTTTTCTTATGAGAAAAGTACAAATATAAACATATTTCTAATCATTTTACAAGAATTAGCAGAAAATTACACGATTTTTACTAATAACCATTCATTCGTAGGGACAATGTAAAATAGGGATGAGCATTACGAAAAGAAGATGCGCGAAAACACTGCAAATGGAAAACCGCATTAAATCACCAATAAAAAGTTGTTCAATTTGCTAATTTGTGAGACACACTAATTTTGTTTTTATAATTTCATTATTGTCTTTTGTTGGCTATTTGTAGTTGGTTAAAACCTATCGGATTCATCACAATTATTGAAAAAAAACTCATGGCATGAGTTTATAAATTCACAAACTTTTTGAAAAACTTTATTTTGAAAAACCTCATCCAATAGTTTTTTGGAATTTCAAAAGAAGAAAGTTTAAAAAGTTCTTAAAAAGCTTTTATTGTGGACGTTCTTAGACGTTTTTTAGATTTAGATTTTATTATTTGTGCTTGAAATTGTTAAACTAGATCCATATCTAATAAATAATAAATATATAACATATTACTAATAAAACAAAACAAAATATATAAAAGGGTTATATAGGGTAAATTTAGAATCACCCTTGAAATTTAGCATATGATTCTTACAGGTTTGTACTTGATATAAAGGTACATCAAGTCAGTCTACCTGTCGCTGCACTTAAAGTCTCCAAACTACCAAAAAAAAAAAAAAAAAAAAAACTTCATGCTTCCATATTTGTTGCATTAGCACAAAATACCAACATAAACATATACTCTAAACCACCACCACCACCACCACCACCGGAAGATTACTCCGGTGAGGACTTAGCGGTATCCACCACCATGGCCGGTGCTTCCTCCAAGCAACTGGTGTCATCACTAATCACACCACCACTCATGAGTTTTTCAACTTCTTCATTCGTATATATATGAATCTTTGTAGCCATTCGTGCAAATTCCCTACGTAAAACATTCATAAAATCATTATTGTTAAAATTAAATCGATTATTTTTTATAATTCAAGATTCTTATGTAGTGATTCTTGATAGGATTTAGACTTACTCCCATGGATCATCTCCTACAACCATCATGTCATTCTCTTCATCGGTATATAGCAATCGCCATCCACCTTCACGATTTTTTAACACACCTTCCATTTGAAATAGTGCCTCTAGCTCGCTAAATAGTTCTTCATAACTTGACATTTTTGAAAGATGAATGGCCCTTCCAACTTTGTTTCCTTGCTTATGAACCTTTGACATGAAAAAAAGATAATTAAAACTTGAAGATCTAATTTGTGCATAAAAAGGTAAAGTTTGATGTATAAAGGTAGTGTTTGGTATGCAGTAATCGTAAAAGGAATGGAATGGAACACTACGACGAAAATGAAAAAATGTTCTTTGCTTGGAACAAAGGAATGGAATGGAGCATTTCTAACGGAATTTGATTCCTTCTCCGGTTCTCATTTTCTTTCCGAAATTAAAAGTTGATACAATCTTGAGTTATAATAATATTTCAAAAAAAATTACAAAACTTCAATTGAATTAATTTTGTTCGTTTTTTTCTCTATAAATAACTAATAGATTTTGATTATATCTCAATCCTAAGATTTCATGGTATTTAATTAAAGAGAAATTAAATATCCTCCTATATTTTCTTCCTGTTTATCTTCCTAACCATATGAAATGTTAACAAGTGTCACATTTTGATAAAATTAATAATATTTTAAGACACTTGTCATCAATTTACATAGATAGGAAGATAATTAGGAAGAAAAACAGGAGGATATTTACGTTCTGTTAATTAAATTTGTGTAAACAAATTTTAAAGTGATAAATAACTTTTTTACTACTTGAAACACATAATATATATTTCAGACGACATGAATTTTTTTTTTTTGTGAAATTTATTTATTTGATTAAAGTTTAACATATTTTCTTGTTTCATCAATTTAGTTTCATTTTATCTTGTAACATAAGAAGCATGTTTAAATGGATTATTTCAATCCTTGAAGCCAACCAAAAATGATAATGGAATGTAATATTCCATTCCATTACCTTACTCATTCCATTCCTTTCTAATTCCATTCCATCATACCAAACAAACCTTACCTTAATGCAACTTCTCTTGCTTAAACTTTTGAGCATCTGGTGTCGAATTCACTCCATTCAAATGAAAACCAAATAGTTTACAACTACTCCCATTACTATCAGAACCACCATCATCTTTCTCACTTCCTGAATTCGGTTCAACGGTTTTGGGAACTTGAAGTTGTAATTTCAACCCGCTGACATCATCCCTCATAACCCCATTTCCAAAACCCTCACGATTGATAGGGAATCCAGTCATAGGCAACACCGGGGGCAAATTTGGAAAACAAAAGTTCCTACCACCTTCAGAACCAAGCGGATAGAACCCGGGGTTATTTGGTAAATTGGTTCTTGGTGGGCCCCAAGAACCGTTTGTTTTTCCAGTTAAAGATCTCATTGAGCAAATTTCTTGACCTTGCAAGACCTTTGGGAATCTGTTTTCAGATCCCAAAAAGCCTGAATGATGATGATTCCTCATAAGTTCACTCACAATGTTTGTACTTCTTCCTGTTAATAACATTTGATTTGGAGTAAAACCCGTATGCATCGAGGGTTGTACTTGTACTCCATGCATTGAGGGTTGTACACCGAAGTTCAACGAGTTGTTTATCGTGCCACCTATATTTTCTTGACCTTGCAAGACCTTAGAGGATCTTGTTGACTCCTCAAAGTCTAAACATCCACCCCATGCTGCATAAAAGAAACAAGTTTATCAAGAAAAGTTTCAAGATTTTAACTTTTTTGAAATTTGCAAATCAAGAAAGTTGGATACCATTTACAGGGTGTTCAGATGGAGATGAATGAAGATTTGCCCGAAGTTTTTTGAATCTTAGAGAAGGGTGAATGCTTAAAAGTGGGACAGATGCACCCGAAAGATCAATCTCCCATGGAGAGATTCGTTCTTGATTACTATTACCAACATCTTCATCCCACCTCACCTGTTGAAATGGGTTTGAAATTTAAAGAATGAATGTATAAAATAATAAAACTAGTTTTTCTTTATATGAAGTTGAAATGTGAAGTACCATTAGGCATCTCCATTTTGATTTAGACCATTTGTAAGGATCCATGTCACTTACACCGGTCACAGTGCCTCTAAACCTGCAAGAAAATGATCAAAGATTCTTGTTTAAGGGACAACGAAGAAATAAACGTGTCATTTTGTAACATCTCCAGACGCACGTACCAAAATATTGTCTGCTTCGGGAAACTCAACACCAGAAAACGAGGACTTCTCAAGGAGTCATCCATCCTGGTACTACTCTCGCCTGAGCACGCTTAACTGTGGAGTTCTGATGGGATCTGCTGTGCTCACTGCCTTAAAACGCGTCTTGAAAGGAGATGTATCCGCAACCTTATAAGAAACGCTTTGTTCCCCTTTCAGTTAAAGTGGGAGTCAGACTGGTTTTGTACTCCCACCCCACCCCCTAAGGGGGTGGGATGGGAGCATTAAACTGGTCCCACATCAACTGTAAGGGGAACCAAGCATTTCTTATAAGGTTGTGGATAACTCTCCTTCCAAGACACTTTTTAAGGCAGTGAGCACAACAGATCCCATCAGAACTCCACAGTTAAACGTGCTCAGGCGAGAGTAATACCAGGATGGGTGACTCCTTGAGAAGTCCTCGTTTTCTGGTGTTGAGTTTCCCGAAGCAGACAATATTTTGGTACGTGCGTCTGGAGATGTTACAATCTTTGTATGTAAGATACCTTCTTTCAGGAGATTCGTCCATACTGAATCTCATTTTGAACCTTGTTCCATTTGTTATCATATTGTTAATGCAGTTCATGTACTTCACATATGGAACAACAAAATCGGCTCGATTAGACCTACATGGGAATTAAAAGTTTAGAGTAGCAAATCATCAAAACGATATAATCTTTACAAAAATGTTTATCGATCTAATATTTCACCTTGGACTATAGAAAACATCGAAGGTGGTGTTGGTAGATACGGCATTAGCTACAGGGGCAAGAATGTCCATGAAGGAATTTGAGTTGGGCATAATTGTATCAGGAAGGACATTTCTTGGTCTTGTGGCTCTTCGTGTTCCTAGCCTTAATTCACCTCCTTCACCCCTAAAATGATTATATAAAATGGATTAATGTAAGCTAAAAGATATTGTAAAGTTTCCTATAATCCCATTTAGCATTTTTATTCAATTTATATTTTGGTTATTGGTTTTAATGGCTAAAGATATTAAAATATTGAAACGTAAAGCAAAAGAAAAAGATAAAATTCTTTCTGGAGACCAAAAGAATAATCTCCAAGTTCTTGTATCCATACACATTACACAATACTAACTTAATACATTTTTTATGCTTTCCAAATATAATAAAAAAAAGGGAAAAAAAACCTTTTTTTTTCTTATCTAAATTTCAACAAAACAATCCACCGACAAAAGATTTTGGTTTTCCAAATTGGAATCTTGTTTTTTCGTGGTGTCTCCCCAAATTTGCACTTTTCTACTTTTATATTTCTTTTTTAAACCTCTAAATTTATCTTATTAAACCCGAAAAGATGCATAAAATTCTCATTGAATGGTGTAACGATACCTTAGAAAGAGAACTGCATCCCCAGAAACGAGATTCTTCTGGCTTACAAAAATGCTCCACCCTGTAGTAAGCAAATGTCGCCTCGGTTGACCTAAAAACACAAAACCCAATTCCCAAATTTAAAATTCAATGTGTTAAAATCGATAAAAAGTATGGAAATTTTCAAATAAATCGATCGAAATTTAATCGCACACCTCTATAAATGTGTCTAAACTTCCACTCAACTCCATGTAGATCTTTCGCCACTAGTTCTTGGCTTGGCCTTTGCTGTTTATAATCCTGAAATGGAAGTAATTTACGTAATTTAGTTATATAAAGTTTAATTAGAGATAAAATTGATCTAATTATGAAAAACCCACAAAGAAAAATTAAAAAAAGATCACACCAGAGGTGGAAAACAATCTTCAGCGGCTCTTCTGGGTACAGAGAATCCGCCATGGGTGGATGTATCAGATGCGGTTAGTGTTTTGCAGAACATTTGAGGGGTTGATTTCGCAAGTGTCCCACCACCACCTTCTTCTTCCCCTTCTTGCAAATTTTTATCAGTTAACTACAAATCATGATGAACAAATATAGAAAATTTAGCTCAATTTTGCAAGAATTCACTTAAGATAACGAGTACACCTCAATTACCCAAAAAGGAAGCAACAAGGTAATGAAAGATTAAAGGTAAACTTATGGAAATTTACTAATGAATTAATTATACCTCTGGAAGTGGGAGGAGAGTAAGTTTTGTATAGATTTCATCATTCTCCTTGTTGGCCTGTTTTTAGAATTGGGTGAAACATCAAAAGCAAATGAGTCAAAAATCAAAATTGAGGGAATTGGATAAAGAAAAGGGGAAATCAGTAAACTTACAAGCAATTGAACATCAACAACTTTGCAAAAGATTTGAGGTTGAAGGCCGAAAGAGGGAACTTCAGTGGGTGAGAATTGAATAGATGAATGAGAAGCAATTTGTTCCAAATGACCTTGTGGGAAGTAAACAACCACATTTCCTTTGTTTGGGAGAGTTGTAAGAGGTCCAGCACAAGCATGCCAAAGCTCCATGTAAACCGAAGATTCAAAATTCGGATTTGATGATTTTAAGGATGAATTCGAGGAATTTGAGGAAGCTGATAAAGACGAATCCCCTCCATTTCCACTCGAATCAACGCTATAAACTTGTTCCCCAGCTTCAATTCCGTTCACTGCATGGTTCAGATCAATTTCCATCGCAAAAGCCAAGTTCAATTTTCCAGAAATTTCTCAAAAACAAGTGGTTATTCAGAGAATTTAAGATAAGGGGAGAAATGATGAAGCAAAATCATGCAAGAACACAAATAAATGAGATGGTTTTCTTTATGGTATCCAACAGGATGATGATGAAACAAAAGGGGAGAAATTTATCAAGATTTGAGAGAATGATTGCCACCCCATTATCTGGTTTTGAGAGTTGGGTGGGATTGATTTTGAAGAAGGGAGCAAGACATGGACAAATGCAAAGGCAGCACAGAAACCAAAGGGAAAAAAGCCAAACGGGTGGTGTCTTTCTAGCTTTTTAGAGAGGAAAGATTACAGTATTTTAGTTGGGGTGAGGGGACAAGGTGAGACCGTACAATGTAACCCACACACTCTTTCTCCTTTTGCTTTAAAAAAAATTTAATTAAAATTTTGTATAGTATATTGAATTTCTATTGAAAGATCTTTATAGGAAGTTTAATAAACAAATTTAGAAAAGTAATGGGTTGTTTTTGGAAATGTTCTCCATTGAAAAGAACTACTACCAAAAAAGAATTGATTATTGATAAATACATAAACGTTTGCATAAAAGATGAATTCAATAGAGGATGAAGACACTTCACCAAAAAAGTAAAAGGAGGTTTGGAATTTCCCAATTGAATGCCAACAACATATGCATTAACTCCCCAATTTAATTGCTTGGTGATAAACACTAAAACCAACACCTTCATTATAACTTTTGGGCAAACTTCGAATATGACTTTATTAATATATGTAACTATAAACAGTAAATAGATTGTGTTTTTATTTGGTAGATTTAAGAATATATATATATATATATATATATATATATATATATATATATATATATATATATATTAATTTTCAGGGTTTTGTCGGTTTTGTCAAAATTTAAATTTTATGTTCGTTTTTACCCTCACATGTTTCAAAAAATGTTCGGTTTTATATTTTTACTGGTGATAACAGGTTTTTCAGGTTACCATTATATTAACTTCGTAAAAAAAACCCTTAAGTTTACAGTTCTTTTACGTATTTACTCTTAATTTTATAGTTTTTTTACACTTTTACCTTAAGTTTTTTTTTTCATAATATACGTATTCATCCAGAAAAATCGTATTTTTATTCTATGCGAATGACTAATATGGATGACGTTTATTGTCCGGATGTGTGTGAACAATTTTATTCTATGATATTGACTAAGAGAATAGATTATTTGGTAATGTGAATACGTTCCACCTCACATAAATATCGTCATTATCATGCATTCTTACTAATTTTTATTCATTTTTGTTCTCATGAATCGTTTTTCACTCATTCTCATTATTACATAATACGATTATCAAGAACACATTTTGACAAAATGAGAATCATAAAAAAGTCCATAATACCCTTATAGACGATTTAATTAGTGAAAATGTGTAACAATGATAATAGTTATGTGAGGTTGAATGTATTCATATTACCAAACAACAAATTTTCTTAGTCATTCTCACTTAATAACATTGTCCATATGTTTGTATAATAAATGTCCATCCACATATGAACCTCTCTCTCTCTCCCTTTCTCTCTAATATTGTTAATAGGTGTCTCTCATGGTTCCTAACCTTTTTACGGTTCTTATTTTATCTAAGCTCATTCAAAAGTCTAACTTTGGGTTTACCTATTGGGCTCCCAAAATTAACGTTACTATTTTGACATTATTCTAAAAGAAAGATTAAAGCTTTAGCTCGAGGAGTTAGATTTTACATTTTAGAAAGACACGTATGTTGTAGTGGCCAACATATGACTATTGTTTTGATATAATTATACATCTTCATAATTTTACAACTTGTTTGGTTTACTTAAGTTTGGAACCTAATTTTAACAATAACTATTTGAAATGATTAAACATTTTCGAAATATAATTTAATTAATTCTAGCCCATACGAGGGGTATTTCAAGATGGATATTGGACCGACCAATTCAAGAGAGGAATTTATGGGTCGAAGTTATTGAATTAATCTTGAAAAGGATGTGTTGATTTTGTGTTGCCTTTATCTAAGATGTGTGAGAGTTCTAAGTGAGTGTAGTGTCATGTTTAGAAGTACGACAACGGTTGATATGAAACATGGTAATTATAAAAGCTACTATTCTATTTTTCTCTCTTTCTCCCTCTCTACGAATTCTTTACGTATGCAATTCCAAATTTCTAGTTTTCCATGTTTTTAATTAATCGATTTGTTTTAGCCGTTTCTTCCCTAATTATCGGAACAAACGACTTTTTACATTATAACATGTGGTTTTACAGTTTACAACCGTTACGCGTCGTAAATACCTTTAAGGACAAGAGTTATATCGTGCGACAATATTAGGTCAACAAAGTCGATATCATCTAGTTGATTTTTATTTTTTATTTTTGTTCCATAATTTTAACGCGTGTGTTAATATGACGGTCTTTTTTCTATATTTTTATAACCAATTTGATCAATAATTGTAAACAATAATTATAATAATTTTGCATTTATTATTCATAATGAACTGATATTTTATTCACAATATTAATTATCATTCCTTTCTAATTATTATTTGGAATAGCATGGTAATTAAACATCATTACTGTTTATGGATTTGTTTGTGTTTATTGTGACGACTTGATAATAAATTCTTAATACTATTTATTTATTTATTTATTTTTTAGTACGGCTCTTAATACTATCTATGTGCTTGTTTATTTTCATTTTGTTAACATTTTGGTGATTAATCCAATAATATTAACTATCAGATCTGAAAATTCAACACATAGACCGTTAAATTCTATTGTTTATATATTAATATACTAGTTGAGATTCATTATAAGTTATAGATAGAATGACGGTTATTAAGATCCAGATGTTGATAATAAGATCATACGACCTTAAGATCCCAAAGAGAAAAATGATAATGATTTCACTAGGACCAGAAACAAGATTTGTATTGGATCTTAGGCTACCGGTTTGGATTGTAAGATCTTACCCACATCTAATCTCACATCTTTAGTATTTGTTACTCTAACCTTAAGAAATTTGTTCATTTATGCTAAAAATCTATTTCATAACATATAGAAGTTGTCTATTCGTTTGGAATCAAGCATATTAGAGTTTAACAATCAATGACGAATTGCAAAAAGTGCAATTAAGATCCAACACATCAAGTAAATATAACAGTTTGAGAACTTTGATTGAATATTGGATGAAATGTTACAAAGAAATCTCAATGTCTTGGATATGAGAATACAAAAGACTTTGTACCTAAACATCACATACGCACACCTATTTATAGAAAGAATAAACTTAAGATATATGATACCCAATAAAATAAGGACACCTAGACCATGTAACGAAATAACAGACAGATCACGCTAACATACACCATCAGTCAGGAGAAAAAATAATAGTCCTAAGTATCATTTCGAAGAAACAATATCTAGAATAGTCTATTAAAAATACAGGATACATAATAAATATATCTTCGGAAGCTTCAGACTTGTCACAACAATACATAATTTAACATAGTTTCCAAAATTTCCAATTTAACTAAAAATGAGCATTACATATCACAGAAAGCCTCTTAGAACATCAAAACTTCATATGTTTATTTCAAATTAGGCATAACATCATGCACACATTTATAGCCCATTTTATGATCTTATGTCTTTAGTTGTACATGGTGGTAGTGATCTTAGTTCCTTTTTCTTTAAGATGTTTTCGTCTTAATTATTGCAGCTTCCTTCTACAAGAATTATGATTACAATCTAAAAAATTTAAGTTGATTCTACCATCCACAAGAGTAAGACATTGCGAAAAAAATTGAGACTAGTTTATCTTGGTATGATATTACAATCTTGGTCTGATCTTACGAACACAATCTTTAAAAAATGACTATAGGTAAGATCTTGAATTAACAAATTTTGATAAATTTATGAGAAAAAGAAAAATCAACCTAATCTCATAAACCAATTTCGAAGATTTAAGCAAAAACTAGCAAAGTGATCATTTAACCATAATTTTCGCATGCCACTACCTGCGAAAATATAGGTGGCCAACAAAAATGTATTTTTTCGATAAATGGCGTTGTTTGGGCTAAGATACTTGCGGTAATACAAAGTGGATTGCGAAAAAGTCACATAACATTTTAAAAAAAAAATTCTCAAAATTCTCTGTAGAAATGGTTGGAGACGACAACGATCTACCTAAATCAGTGAGTTATTCATTCTCAATGTTTTTAATATTCGTGTTCATAAATGAATCTATTTATAGGATTTCCGAAGGTCTTGACCTTCAAATAGTTAGGTTTCAGAGGTCTTGACCTACAAAAATCTAGGTTTTCCCAGGCTATGAAAATCTATGTTTCCCCGAGCCATGACTTGTAAAATCTCAAGGCTACTTACGATAATTCCATTATTCGGACATATAATTTTTAGTTGTATATATTTAGTTATTTATAACAATTTTTATGTTAATGAGCATGAATTGAAATCATTTAAAGGTTTTTTGAATTCAATAGCCAATGCGGGAAATGTTAGACGTGCTATAGGATATTTAATGGGAGGAAGGTTGGAGTTATTTCAAACAACCTTCGAATATTGGGTTGACATACCTAATATCAAGGGGGCCATTTCTTATTCAGATGGCGATGTTGCATGGTGTTCAACCGAACATTGATCTTATAGCACATGAGCACTTTCAGTTTTTATTTTACTACAAATATGTATATTTTGGTTGTGAGGAATTTTGTTTGATTAGCAGATACAAATTTGGCGGTTGGCATCTAGATGTAAATGGAAAAGAAATGAAACACGTTGGTTCATCGTTCCAACGGCGTTTACCGAATGACACATGTAACTTGTTGACCATTGAAGATTTGTATGTGATTATATTTAATGAGATTTTTTTTCTATATTTCGAATTAGTATGTAGTAATAAGGAATTATTTAGACATGAAAATATTCAGACCTCTACAAAAAACAACCTTTTCTACTTTCAAATTAGCACCCTAATTAATGTATTCGTATTTAATGTTCAACACGTCCAAATTCGTAGGCCAAGTATTAGAACGAGCAATTTGGTTATTTTGAATGTAATATGTCACAAATGCCATTTCCTTGAACCAATATAAAGAAATGGTGATATTTGGTATTTTTTCAAAAAAAAAAAAAGAAAAAAAACACAGGAGCCTACTTTGGAGTATGAAAAGTACGATTTTTCGATATCTAAATTTTTATTGTGATATAACCATGGATGACCCTTGTTACAAAGAACAAAAATTCAAGTCATGTGGAATTAAAATGAAGAAGTTGTGGTCATTTAGAAAAATATCTTACTTAAGTGTTATAAGAAAAGTTTATAGGATCCTATGTTCTTGACCTTGTAAGTTGAGATCTAG